TGTCTGTGTAGATATGTATGTGTGTGTGTGTGTGTGTGTGTGTGTGTGTGTGTGTGAGAGAGAGAGAGAGAGAGAGAGAGAGAGAGAGAGAGAGAGAGGAGAGACAGAGGCAGAGGTATGAGATGGCTGTAGAAACAAAGACGAGAGAGAAAATATGGCTTTTGCTTTAATTCTACTCAATAATGACATGTCTGCTTTTTTAAAATATAAAATTGTGCCTGGGCATGGTGGCACACGCCTTTAATCCTAGCATTCAGGAGGCAAAGGCAGGTGGATCTCTATGAGTTCAAAGCCAGCCTGGTCTACATAGTGGATTCCAGACAAATGAGGGATACGCAGTGAGACTCTGTTTCAAAAACAAAATGAAGTTTTTATTTCAAAAGGTTATGTTTGCACTTGAATGGCTTTACCAATAACTAGAACTCTCTGAGAAACAAAGGCTACCTGCAGCACATGTGAAGGACCAAGAGTAAACACCAAGTGAGAGACTCCTCTAAAATGGAAGTGTTTTGAGCTGGTTGTTGTTGTTGTTAGTGTTCTTTTGTTTTTTTTTTTCCTACTTTCTCTGTAGAGGCATTAAGGGGAAATTCTATAACACTCATAATTCAAAACTCTAGAATGCATTTTGTGCCTGATATCAGCAATGAAAGATTCTGAAATATTGAGGCCCAGTTCCAGAGATATCTACTTAAGACTGTTTTGTTTTTGTTAGAAGCTAACAGGCGTCATCTTGACATCTGGAGCAAAAATATATTGGATTTGTTGGAGAGATGCTAGACAAATAACAGATCCAATTAAAGACTGACACAGATGAGCAAAAATGTAGCACTTAAGGATGGCTCAAAAAAAAAAGAGTTCTTGGACTTTATCTATAGTGTACAGCACATTAAAAATGCTTGAGTTTGAATTTCAGTGGAAATGTAGCCTCTGTAATTTTCCATGTACACTTCAAATCTCCAGGAGAGAAAAATCCATCCAATTAGCCCGGTGACCTGTATGTGACTGTAAATCTAGATATCAGAGCTAGCCTCCTGATCTTTTGATAATTTTGACTGGTGGGGGAATGACTGTATGCAAGAATGTCTTCTCAGTATGTGTCTCCTTTAATGCATTTAGAAATTTTGAGGAAAAGAAGAATGTATCTGGTTAAACTGAAAATTACTTGGTTTGATAACAATGCCTAGCAAACATACTATCTCGTCTCCCATGACTGTCCTCGATATTGAATCAATCATATTAATTCCTCTTTTGTTATTGCTGTCATGCATACATTCCAGACACTTTTCTACTATTTTTTCTTTTTTAACCAAGCTTTGTAAAATGGCTGTGCAAACTCACTTACCTCACATTCTCTCTCCCCATGTACTCTTCAACCAAAGCCAATGACTTTTGACCCCTTTACAATAACTACTCGCAGTAGGGCCATCAGAGGACCTGAGTTTGATTCCCAGGACCCACACCTGCCATTCCAGTTCCAGGGGATCTGATGTCCCCTCCTGACTCTTCAGGCACTCGGCACACATGTACACAGACATACATGCAAGCAAAATATCCATAACATAAAATATAAACAAATAAACAAATAAATAGTTGTCCAAATTTAATCAGTAATAATGTATTTTTAAAAACCCTTATTTTTCTTTAGGCTTAAAAAACAAAACAAAACCTCTTCTGTACTCTTCCATTCTATAACAAAAACTTCAGGCCAAGTAACACAGAAAAGGTTACTTCACAAGTTTTGAGGCTAGTCGCCCAAAAGGTGCAGTATCCGCTCTGGAGAGCAGCATTTTGGGCTGTGTTGGAGGCAAAGTAGAATAAAGGGAGTGGAGGTACCACCAGTGTCAGCCAAGGTTTCACTTGGCCCGTAACAGTACAAGGAGACTTGTTTCTTCCACATCTTCCTAACCCTCTATGGTTCAGTGAAATTCTCTCTCCCCCGCGCCTCCCTGCTCCTCCCCTCTTCACTCTCTTTTGTACTCTCCACATGCCTCCTCCCCAGAAGTTTCTATCAGAGCAGAAGCATTTACTGCAGAGAGTACTTATAGCCTTTGAACACTGAGATTTTTATTTTCTAGTTTTTTTTGAGACAGGGTTTCTTGTAAGCCCGTCTGGCCTCAAACTACACCATGTAGCCTAGGATGCCCTAGAACCTTAATCTTTCTGCCTCTACCTCTTAAGTACTTATGATTTCTGGGCATGTGCTACATAGTTTCTTGTAGTGCTAGATAGAGATGGAACTTCAGGTTTTGTCAGGCTATGCAAGCACGCAGCTGACTGAACAACATCACCAGCCAGAGCATGTTTTTTTTAAAGTGACCAGATGTGGGTGATGTAACAGACACAACAGTGGGACCTACGTAGAAAAGTGGACGCACTAAGTCCTTTCTCACTATGTCTTGAACCGAACACTGGCACCTAATAACCAAGTTGGCAGTCCCCTGCCTCACTCCTGAGGATCAGGGTCCATGATGTCAGAGTGATGGAAATGTGTCTTCTGGAGGTAGCTGCTAGTCAGGATCTGTCAGGGCTTTGTGTGATGAATTTCAGTCTTCAGAGAAGACTTTCATGTCTTAGCATGCTGTGCAGGGGTGGGGTCACACTAAGTGGTGTGAGGGTAGAAGAGCAACACTCTTTATTTCCACGGCAGAGCTAGCTGGCAAGTGCTCCAAATGGGGTTAGGAGAACAAAGGTGTTCCGCTAATGCAGAAGGACTTAGACATTTGGGACTCTGGTTAGAGTTCCAGGAAGAAAGGGGTAAAAGGAGGAGGCATGAACAGGGGCCGAGGGAGTAGAGTATAAAGGCTTCATGAAGATGACCAAGCAAGACAGCGCCTCAGCAGCTCTGGGTCATGGTCAGAGATCTTTAAAGAACAGGATAGTGAATATTCAGTTCGGAGATGTTTACTGAAGCTGACATTCCACGTTGCATTCTCTTCCCTTTCTTTCCCCTGTGAGCTCAAAGTTTTCAGTGGAATTCACAGTGCAGAGATGTCTAGTATCCACAGTATTCTGAGAAAATAATTAAAAAAAAAAAGAAAAGAAAGAGAAGCTGTTCGAATTTGGAAATGATGAAGGACAGACAAATGAGCAACAAGGAAGCTACACTTGAGAAAAATCACAAGAAATCAACACAAGCAGGAAATAACAGAAAAACATGAACTTCATAGAGGAGGTGTCATCGACTGAGATTTGGCTTTTGTACTTTGAAGCTTTGGGAACATTCTAGTAGCTAACATTTGAGTAGCATTAGTAAGGCAAGGATAGTAACCCAAGTCACCAACTTACATGTTTCCTAAAAGCTCCCTGTAGAGCCTTGGAGAAGTTTAATCTCATTCAATTCAGACAATTTAAGCATTTCTCTTTGGCTTGGGAATTGCACAGGATTTCCGGGGCTTTGAATAGGGTGAGGCTGGCGCGGTACCATGGTCACATCGGTTCCTGCTGCAGTCACTGGACCGGAGTCATCAATCCACACCCCTTGCCACTGAGCTTCCTTTGTCCTCTTTTCAGAGGTGCAAGGACAAGCATCGGGTTCTTTTCATTCCACATCAGCACTGTCTCTTTTTTTCCTGCAAACGGTGAGAAGTAGGAACTACTCTGGTGTTCATCTTTTTGTTTCCTCAATGTCTAAAATCTTATCTTTCATTTCTGATATTCTGAGTGTGAGGACTCTTCACAGAGGGAATGCCTTGTTCCACCTAGTTTGAGGAGGAACAAACAAAATATTTAAGGAAATATGTGATACAAGCTGATACTTATATTGTAGAATACACACACACACACACACACACACACACATATATATATATATAATTTTTTTGAGGCAGGGTCTTGTTATGTAGCTCTGGATATCCTGGAACTCACTGTGCAGACAAGGCTGGCCTTGAACTCACAGAGATTCATATGCCTCTGCCTCCTGATTGCTGGAATTAAAGGTCTGTGTCACTATGTCCAGCTTATATCTTTTTTCTTTATTTCAAAATACTCCTTATAAAGTAACCACCCTACAAACTAATGACATTTCATTTTCTCCCATTCATAATTTCTAATCTAACCTAGTATTAATTAATTATATAAGAACTAAAAGTATTTACTTTTCTATGTCGGAGGTCAGCAAACTGTCATCCATACAGCTAAAATGGGCCCTAATACCTGTTTTATATTTATATATGGTTGGAAGAAATCAAAAGAAGATTAATAATTTGAGACTTGTAAAAGTTTTATAAAAAAAAACCCTAGATTTCATTGTCTACAAAATTTCATTGGGACATAGACATGCACAGCCATCTACAATTGTCTGTGGATGGTTTCCTTCTATAATCATAGAGTTTGGTATGGCTCACATTGCTAGAAATGCTTAATGCTTTGGCCTTTCTAGAAAACTTGTCAGTTCCTACCTTACATCATTCTAGCTCACTTAAGAGTTCTGCTTGTTGTTTCCCTAGACCAAGTGTAGCATCTTGGGTAGTTTCATCCTTCACACAACATACACAGTTGTTAACCTTGAAAATATTTCATTCTCTTCTGGCAAAGAAAGAGCATTTGAATCTTTTTTATCTGCTTATGTGTGTGTTGGAATTTCTCCGAGTTTAGAATCTTCATCATGGCAAGAGAGATGCAGTGTGTGAGACTTTCAAAGGTAAAACAGGAAAAGATTGCACACACAGCTAGCTGTAACTAAATAATGTAGTGTCTCTCATATGGCTCAGTGTAGCATCAACCATTGTGGTAGTACTTTCTTGTTGACACCGCCAGCCCACAAATAATGATACAGAGACTTATTAATTATAAAACCTCAGCCTAGCTTAGGCTTGTTCCTAACTAGCTCTTACAACTTAAATTAACCCATTAAAAAAAAAATCTACATTCTTCCCTGAGACTCATTACCTCATCTCCATTCTGTCCATCCTGCCTCTTCTGCATCTGGCTAGTGACTCCACCTTTCTTCTTCCCAGAGTCCTCTCTGTTCCCTGAAGTCCCACCTAACCTCTTCTTGCCTAGTTATTGGCCATTCAGCTCTTTATTAAACCAATTAGAAGGCGCCTTGGAAAAGACACATCTTCACAGTGTGAACAAATATTCTGCAACAAACCATGTTGTATATTCATCCAATAACTGGCATTTGTTTGAAAATATGTGTCAAACCGAAAGATCGTAGATATTTATTCAGAAAAAAATATATTTTTCTAGACTAGTTTTTTTTTTTTTTTTTTTTTGGTTTTTTTGAGACAGAGTTTCTCTGTGTAGCCTTGTGCCTTTCCTGGAACTCACTTGGTAGTCCAGGCTGGCCTCGAACTCACAGAGATTTGCCTGGCTCTGCCTCCCGAGTGCTGGGATTAAAGGCGTGCGTCACCACCGGCCCGGCAAGATTTAATATTTTTATAAAACCAAACTACTCTCTTACAACGATGGCAAACTTGAGTCCTTATTTCATGTAGTTTTGTTTTCAACAACAGGGTTTTACGCCGTGAAAAGAGAGGGTTCATTTTCATACCCTTAATACTTTCTTAGAAGATAAACTATGAGCCCTATTCTCATATTTCTTAACCTCCTCATCATTAGCTGATTAAATTAATAAATAAATTAGTTTTTTAATTTTTAAATTAAATTTAATTAAAAATCTACATTTAGTTATAACACACATTTCCATGCTGTAGGGATGGTTAGAGACTAGGAGAGAAGTTGCTTCCTGTGCAGCCTTTTGTTGACCGTCACCTGTGTCCCTTTAATTCGATCCGAATACTGCAGGCCTGACCAGGGTTGCTACGGATAAACAGGATGAGTGAAGGCATACATCCCCTCGCCCCAAAAATACACCCAAGGAAAACATTAGAAATGTACGGTCGTTACATCTCTGCAGAAGTGAAGCTCGGGAAAGGTGGACACAATGCAAACACGGCTGGAATTATTAGAACCACAGGGATTATATTTATGGAAGCAGTGGTTTTTGAGAGAGATGGACACAGATCGGTTATGAACAAGTCGGTAACCCAAACCGGTATAAACATTAATATTCCATTTTGAGAACAGCAGTTAGGTATTTTTGGGGGTGGTGATGAAGAATCTGAACTGGGCAGTAATGAGAGATGCCATGGTAATCTGATAGAAAGGAAACAGAGAAGGGTATCAGAAGTCTTGAGACATTAATTATACATGGGGATCCCATCTAATTAGCTGATATAATCATATAATTGATTTAATTATATATGTTAATAGAGTTTTTTTTTTTACCAAAAGAGATACATAAGAAAATCATAATTAATATAATTTTCTCTGTGCAGAGACTAAACCCATGTTTTTCAGCTAGGAGTGATTGTCTTCCCTTTTTCTCTGCTCTAGGAGATATTTGGTAATTAAATCAAAAAAACTTTTGGTTTCCACCATTTGGAAGGTAGTTGTTCTATGTACTTTGTAAGTAGAGGCCAGGTAGTATTGCTAAATATTCTGCAATATACAGAATAGTCACTCCCACCCCTAAAACAAAACAACAAACAGGCAAACAAACAAAACCAATCAGCCAGCTAGACAGCTCAGTCTGAAAAAGCCCCTGTGTCCAAGCCTGACAACCTGAGTGCCACTCTGAGAAGCCACATGGTGGAAGGACAGAATCCCCAAAAGTTGCCCTCTGACCTGCATGCATACACACATTCCAAACAAACAAACAAACAAACACACAAAATTAAAAGCCAGCCTCAAGAATCATTAAGTCCAATATGTCAATAGTGCCATAATTAAGAAACTTGGAGCTAGGTTAAACCAGAGAAGAAACAGTGTATAAACTGAACAAAAGTGTAAGAACTAGATCAGAGGTCATCAGAATCTTGGATGGCATGACCAATATCTTCTTTCATCAATTTATCCACTAAGCTAATTCAAAATGAGTTGTAGTTTTTAAGTATATTTCAAAATTACTTTTACATTCTACTTAGGTTTTGCATTTACACATAGGAACACAGATAAATCTCAGAGAGATAATGATGAATGAACAAAGCCAGTCAAATAAGAACATATTCAGTACGATACCATTTATATCAACGTTGAAAATTTAAAAATGAAACAATATTTATTCATGAATATATATAATTATATGTGGAAAGTAAATAATAATAATAACCAGTTCAGGATAGTGTTTATATTTGTAAAAAGGAGTGACTTTATAGAAAAGAAATGGGGAGTTCTTAAACATACTAAATTGATTATTTTAGATTAGTTAATGAATCCTTATGGGATTTTATTATTTTAGCTTCTCACACATATTTTATATATTCTTTGTATTATACAAAAAAAAAACATAATAAGAACAATAAAATTGAGTTATAATGGGCTCATGGACACTGAAGAGTTTTCCTTTACAATCTATCACCACCTGCAGGTTAAACTAGCTATTGCAGAAAATTGTCTTGGTTTTTTTTATAACAGAAATAAAAATAAGTCGAGGAGCACCAAAATAAATGAAATCTGCAAGGAACTGAGCATATGTAGAGTACAAAGGGCAATGTTTCAGTTATAGACAACATCTGCAAAATTATTTTAAAATGCAAACAATATAACACAAAATGTTATATTGTAAGTACCACCCGACCTGTGCCCCACTACGTATCAAGAAACAGAAACAAGTAGTATTTCACCCATCATGACAACCAAGTTTGTTAATGGAAACCACAGTACTGAATTGTATTCATTTAGTTACCCTCTAATTCCAAACCAGAGGCCATCCTCTCCTGTCATTGGTCCCTGTTCTTCTCTTCCTAGTTTGTACTAAACATGGCCCCCAAGTTAAAGTCTCAACGATTTCATGTTCAGTCTGAAAGACAGTGCCTGTAATCCCCACACTCAAAGGGTGGGGACAGGACAATCAGTCACAAGTTCAGGGCCAGCCTGCCAAAGAAGAAGCAAGAAGGAGAGAAGAGGAAAAGAAAGAAAGAAAGAAAAGCAGGAGCTGGGGACATAGCAGTACAACAGCACTTGCCCACGACATGCAAAGTCCTAGGTTCTCTCTCCAGAACTGTGAAAACAACCAAACCAAACCTCTTCCAAAGTCTCAAATAGTTTCACACGGCCTGTAGAACGAAGTCCAACTTCTTCAGGTCGGTAATGAAGGCTTTCCACACTTTGGACCCAGTCTGACCTTCTTCAACCCCACCATGCCTCACCCAACATGAATCTCTATCTCAGCCAGTCTGGTTTTTTGTGTTGGCCATTGCTTATTCTGAATTTACTGTGTATTCATGGCAGAATCCATTTCCTTCCACATCAGCCATTTATACTCCTGAACATTCAAACATGTTCAATTTTTCTCCTAAATGTGAAAAATTGAAATTCAGTTTCCTAGGGAGTCCAGCTCCCACTTTTTCCCCAGGGTATTCTTTAGGAGGGAGAAGTGAGAAATATTTAGATAGAAGGATAAAGGAGAGAGACAGAAACACAGGATAGCCTCGGGAGGGCCTGGATCCTTATCCATTGGCCTCCTCTGTCTCTTCTAAAGGGCTTTTTATAGGAATACAAAGGGGTGGAGCAAAGACCTCCCCCTAGCACAACCAAATGCAAACCCAAATGCCTTCACCTATTAACCATGCACATGGTCAAGCAATCCTCTAATGTAGCTCTGCTGGGTAAAGCAAGCTCAGATCTCACTAGGAACCTTTGTGGGCCTCCACAATTTCCCACCCACATTTTACAGATGGCTTCTTCATCTTATTTCCTCTTACATAGAACTCCTAGAGATACTATTATTCTTGAGATAATATACCCCTACCCACCCCCAAGAATTACTAAAGCACTTTCTGCCTACATCATTTATTTGGCATAGTCAGATATTACTAATATCAAACTGATTCATTTCCTTAGGGTATGACTTTATATGTACCAGCTAAATTTTTGGAAGTAGAATAACTTTACAAGTTTTCAGCTCCCCCCACCCTTTCCCTACAAAAATCGGTGATACTGGTATTTTAATTTGAGGAAAGTTTTTAAAATATGCAGTATTTTTATTAATTTTTTTGCAAGTTTCATGCAATTTATTTTGATCACGGTTGCACACATCTTCACTCCTCCAGGTCCTCTAAGATCTACCCTCCACTTCTCCTAATTTTATATCCTCTTTGAAAAAAAAAGCCCACAGGATCCAAGTTCAAATTCAGTGTAGGTAACTTAGTGAGACCCAGATCCAAATGAAAAGTAAACAGAGGCCTAAAGATACAGGTCAGTGGTAGAGTGCTTGCTTGTCTAGCATGTCGTAAAGCCCTGGGTTCAATAGCAACTACCAGGCTGGATATGTAGCTCAGTTGAGAGAAAGTTTGCCCAGCATACATGAAACCTTAGGTTTGATTTCCAGCAATGCACACCCCGCATTCAAGAGGCAGAAGGATCTGAAGTCAGAGAGAGTTGAGGCCAGCTTGGGATACATAAGACATTGCCTCAAAAATGAAATAAAATGAATACACAAGAGGCATGACATTGACAGTACACCTGGACCCCGTAGTGAATCGCAGTGGGCTGGAAGAGTCTTATTATTATGAACTGTGTTCTGAGATAGTTGTACTATTTTGCAAACTATTTTGTTGGTAATTGAGGGGAACAATTTATTGCGGAAACCCAGAAGCCTATTCTTTCCTATTTACATATCTTAAATTAAAAACCCCATCCCATAACAACGAACTGTCTAAAAATATCCTTGAGCGGAACTAAAATTGACAGGTAATCTAACTTTGGAGCCTGGCATATTGAAAGCCCTGCAAGTTTATTGAATGAATCTTTGTGCTGTTTTAAAGCCATTATCTGTCCATTTACTAACCTTAATACAGCTGTTAACAAGAATATAAATTAAAAAGGAATTTGAAGACAACGGGGTTCAGAGAAAACTTCGTGAGATTAAACCCTGCTTAAAACCACCTGTTTCTACCAACCAAGAAGCGGGACAGCGTTCCAAGTGGCGACGATCGTTGAAAATACGATTCTTCCACCGACTATTCACATATGACACGCGCGCGGGTAGCAAATTTTAATTCCTGTGGGTTTAATCTCCTTGTTAAAATCAGGGGTTCGACTGTAAGGGCCCGAGAGTTTAGTGACAGGATCGTGGGTAGGAATGGACTACTACAGGAGAGATCCAAGGCTTTACTAGTCCTTTCATCTCCATCGGGACTTTACTAGTCCAAGGCTTTACTAGTCCTTTCATCTCCATCGGGACTTTACTAGTCCAAGGCTTTACTAGTCCTTTCATCTCCATCGGGAGCTGACGGCCTCCAGCTGGTCCAGAGAATTTAAAGCACTCAAAACACTCCGGCCCCGGCCTTCCAGCCTCCATCCAGCGGACCCGCTGAGAAGGGCGCACAGCATGCTGGGATTTGTAGTTCGGTACCTCCCTTGGTTACCGGGAGGAGTGTGGCATTCTGGGATCTGTAGTTTCAGGCGGTTCGTTCCGGGCCGGAGCCTCACGTGACGACGCCCGCCCGTCCTGCGCGCCTTTGGGTTCGCACTGCGGCTCCAGCCAGCCCGGGGCCGGGCGAGTTCTCGCTCCCCCCCCCACCCCCGGCTGCGCGGCCGTTGCCGAGGAGACGGCGCACGTCCCGCCGAGCGAGCGTTGTCCTCTCCCTCCCCACCACCTCCCCACCCCCCACCCTCCCCCCTCCGCTCCCTCTGCGGTTCCCCCGCCCCTCTTCTCCCACCACAATGAGGTCCTAAGATGGCGGTGGCTGCGGCGGTTGGCGCCCGGGAGAAGCTGATGTAGAGAAAGGGCGGCCGCTGGGCTCGCAGTCGGCAGTCGTCCGGGCAGTCCGGGCATTCGTGGGCCCTCCCTGCCGCGGTCTTCGAGGAAGAACCGCTGCTGGGTGGCGGCGGCGGCGGCTCCTTGCGTTGGGGGGGCGGCGGCGGCGGCCACTCCGCCCTTGGCAGGAGGGGCGGCTTTCGTTTGCAGGTAAATACATGCCTGGCGCGTCTGCGGCCCTGGGCCGCGGCGGGCGGGAGAGCTGGGTGGTGCGGCGGCGCCGGGGGTCGTGCCGGACCGGGCCACGCCTGTCCCTTTGGGGTCCTGGGGGGTCCCCTTGGCTGCGCGATGCTCGCCGCCCCCCTCCCTCTCCCCAGCTTGGCTGACACCGTCTCGGGTGAGCATCTGGGGACGCGCTGGCGCCTGCATCCTCTTGTCCACCCGAGGACCCCCATCCCCCCCGCATCCCCCTGGCGCGGTGCCCTGGTTGCTGCTGGAGCCCGTGCCCTTTGCAGGGTGGAGTGGGGGAAAGAGCCGGCTGGCTGGTTGTCGTTGGGGGTTGATTGAGTCCCGAAAGCAGCAGGGCCTTGGCGGCCTGAGGCCTAGTGACCGCCCGCCCTCCCTCCCATCCCGCCCCACCCGCCAAATTCCATTCGGTGAGCCCCCCACCCCACCCCTTCCACCTCCCGCGGCCCCGAAGCCTGGGTGCACAGCGTCCGCGGCCGCCCGGGGATCCGCGGCAGTGTGTGCTATGTGTCGCTGGTGTCCCCGGAGCAGCCAGGCCCCGGCCGGGGGAGGCGTTCCTGACGCCAGCTTCTCGCTCAGGGCAGGTTAATTGAAGGACCCTTCTCTCCGCGCCCCTCCCGCGCGGCCCCTTTCGCCTATCCCTTCCTGCCGATCCAGTCTCTTCGGATCTGAAATCGGGGGGCGGGGGTGGGGGGTGGCAGCCAAGAGGTGTCCGGTGGGATTCAGACAGCGTTGCTGTGCTCGGCAGAAACTGGTGTCAGGGACTAGGTGTTCGCCTGCTGGAAACCAACTTTTCATCCTGCGCAGCTCACCTTGTGGTGCCCCCCCCCTTCTCCAAAAGAAAAAAAAAAGCCCATCAAAACAAAGCAACCCCCCCCCCCCACGGCTGTTGGGATATGTGTTGTACGAACTATGGTAACGGATCGTGTTTTGGCGCTAGACGAAGCGGGCTTTCTGGGTGCCCCTGCCGCCACCACCCCCCTCCTCCGCCCCATAACCGCTTTCCAGACCCCGCCTTCTGTGTTCTCTGGTTACTAGAGCTTCGGGTGCACCTGCTTCTGCCTTTCCCCCATCACCTTCCCGGTCAGGGCCACTGGCGGCCGACGTTAATTCTGAATTTGGAAGTTGAAGGTACACCTCGGAAATGTAATGAGAATATTTTCTCATGAATGAGACTTTTTAAAAACATGATAGAGTAACAATTTCTTGAATAGTTTGAGTAACAGGGAGTTAATGACTTAATCAGGACAGTAAACTTCTTCATGGGTCTTTAAATGGTTAATGGGGGCTGTTTTTATTATATTCCAAAGTGGATGTTATACCTTGTTTGGAAGGATCTTAAGAGATTTGGGGTACCTAAACGTCTATGTTAAGGTAAATTTGAGTCTAAAATTGTTTATAAATTACATTTGTTGGTTATCTGAAACATTAGGTAAAAAATTTAGTGTTTGTTTTCTGTACTTAAGAGTGTAAGAATTTACTGGGGACTTTTTTTTTTTCTAATAAGCAGCTTTGAACTGTGGAAGAGAAAGGTATTTCTGAAAATTTTCTAATAACTGCTTTGAACTGTGGAAGAGAAAGGTATTTCTGAAAATTTTGTCTCTAAACAGTTGACATGTTAGTTTCATTTGTATTAAAGTTGGGAACATTTTATGCTGAGGCCTGCCGTATAGAAACTGGTGCAGGATTGAAGAGTCTTTTTGCTACCCCTCTGCCTTTTGACATGCCGTTGTGGTGTATCTTCATTCTTTGTTAGAAAATAGCGGTTCCATTTCTAATAGCTAAACTAAAAAAAATTATACAGTACTGTCTGAAATTCCTTCGTCTTGCAGAATTTTTTTAAAGCTCATTCAAGTTTGAATTTATCGTTCTCAAGTTATGGCCCTTAGAATTTCTTGATTGGCTTTATCTTGCTTTCATGATCTTTTCTGCTTTTTAAAATTTGTTACACCTACAACTGACAGGCATTAATTTAGTTATATAAAATTATTTTGAACATTAGTTCGGGACATAGTGCCTTGCCACATAAGAAGTTAGTGTTGGGGGAAATGTAAGTTCAGTTAAAGTTAAAAGCAATTGGAAAGGTCTGTGTGGAGGATCCCAGCTAGGGCTGGGATTAACCTAATAGATTTGCTTAGCATACACTGTTATTGCTTTAGGTTTGCTCTCCAACACCAGGTAAACAGGAATGGGGTTGAATGCGTGTAATCCCGGCGTTAGGGAAGTAGAGGCTGAAGGTTCAAGGTCATCCTTGGCTACATAGCCAAGTTTGAGGTCTGCCTGGGATATGTGAAATGCTGCATAAAAAAAAAAATTATAATGGCTAAAGGATGAAAACTAGAAGAAATTTTGTTTAAAGTATTTTAGAAGTAATTCATCTTTTAAAAAATGTGTGTGTGTGTATATAGCTGCAGAAAAAATCTGAATTTATTTCTCCCATGCAGCTTTAAGAAAAGCCAGGCAAATGGTATGCCCATAGTCCAGGAATTGGGTAATTGAGATAGGAGGATCAGGAGTTCAAGGCCATTCTGTCCTACAAAGACAGACCCTATCTCAGGGGGGAAAGATATATATATGATATATATATATCATATAAAAAGAACTCAAGAAACTTTTTTTTAAGATTCATTTATTTTACTATTTTATGTGTGAGTGTTTTGTCTGCATGTGTGTCTGTGAACTATCCGTGTGCCTGGTGCCAGCAGAAGTCTGAGATGGTGTCAGATTCCCTGGGACTGGCATTACAGATGGTCGGTGATCACAATGTGGGTGCTGAGACCCAAACATGGGCCATCTAAAGAGCAACAAGTACCCTTAACCTCTGAACCATCTCTCCAACCCCTGTCTCTCTTTTGTGTTTGAAACAGCATCTCATGTACCCTTGGCTGGTGTAGTTGAGGATGACCTTGAACTTTGATTTACTTGCTTCTGCCTCCCAAGAACTAGGATTACAGATGTGTATCACTGTGACCTGCTAAAATATCCTATTTTAATAATTGTTTAATTTTTTCTTGCTTTCTGTGAAAGCAAACAAATAAACTCACTTATGAGGAACAGAAATGAAACTGAGATGCAGAACTACAGAGAATTGGTTGATTTACGTCTCAGTTGCAGTTCTCAGTGTTTTTGTTTTTATGCTGGAAGATGATAACAGAATAGGAAAAATGGAAGTTAGGAGAAGTCAAATGTGAGTGTCTAATGCTGAATGATTGCATTGTGGTTGACATTTTGTGAGATAAAAAGAATTACTGTTACTATAAAATAATTTTACTAAAAGGAAAAATTAGGGAAGATGGATGAGGAATGAAAATACAGGGTAAATGACTTAATTCACTTGGGAAGACTTGGGTTTTTCTCAGTGAGATTTGTTGTGTTGTAAAAGATCGAACAACTGTGGTGGAAGAATCAGAAAGGGATAGTCACAGTAGGGAGTTTGGTGTGAAGATAACAGGCACTGCAGAACAATACATTCGTTTATAAACTTGAGTGCTTCTAATGTACCCTTGAGTTCACTTCTAATGTGTAATGACAAAGGTTTGGGGATAAGGCATTGAATAAAATAGACAAGATGCATTACCCCATGATAGTGTATGTAGATCATATAGTACACATGCCTTAACAAAGTCTTGTCAAAAGTCAAACCAAAGTCAGTACCACTTTGTCAGGGTGTGAATAGAATCAAAGAAAGCAGGTAGTTGTTTTTCTAGAGTTAACAAAAGGAGCAAATAGGAAGGATAGTAAGGATGCTAGGAAGACATTTTTGTAATGATTACTTGGTTTGGGGGTAAGAATGCAAAAGATTAGAAGATAAGAGAAAAAAACAATCAAGGGACTAGAAATGAAAGGTCAAGAACAGATTCAGCAAATTAGGCAGTGATATAGTAGAATGCAGGAGTTAGGATCAGAGAGGAAATTTAAGTTCCTGATCTTGAACAAATTGCCAGTTCAGAGTGAAAAAGGCATTGGAACAAGGAAGATAAAATAGACATTGGAATTGAGACTAAGCCGCTTAGAGAAACCATATACACACACAGTTCATAAAAGCAGGTGTCTTAGGGTTTTTATTTCTGTGAAGAGACACCATGACCATGGCAACTCTTTTAAAGGAAAATATTTGAGGTGGCGGCTTACAGTTTCAGAGGTTCATTATCATCATGGTGGGGACCGTCGTGGTGTGCAGGCAGATGAGGTACTGGAGCTGAGAGTCCTACATATTGCAGGTAACAGGAAGTTGACTGATACACTGGGTGGTATCCTAAGCATATAAAACCTCAAAACCCATCCCCACAATGACACACTTCCTCCAATGAAGCATACCCACTCCAACAAAGCCACACCTCCTTCCTAATAGTGCCACTCTCTGAGATTCTGGAGGTCAGTTGCATTCAAACTACCACAGCAGGGGCTGGTGAACAAAACTAGGAGTCACTATAATCAAGGGTAGGGTAGCACAAAGTGATGCACAAGGTAGGGTAGTGGTTTTGATGTATACTTTTAAAAAGAGGAAAGATATTATTTGCAGACTATTTTTATTGAGTTAGCCAGAAGAGTGGGAAAGGAACATCTTTATTTAGAAGTGATTTGATAGGAGTTGGTGCATTAAGAGGTATTTTAGATTTTACTGACACAGAAGAGGAATGTTTTGGAGCTGATGGAGGATGTGCAGGTAGGTAGTTGGTTTGTAATCTGTTGGAAGTGTTTGATAGGAGGAGCTGTTAACCATAGGTGTGGATTGGGATGGTATTGAAGATAGAGATTTGAGACTGATAGCAATGTCAGGGGGCAGTGAGTAACTTTTGGTTGCAAGTGGGTATCTACTTATAAGAAAATATTAGATTTAGTATTTAATTGTAGAAAAGCAAGGTGCAGGGCTCCATTTCCTGAGTGCTGCAGCCAGTGAGGGGCAGGGCCAGCTCCCCCACTCTCAGGCCTCAGGGCCAGCTCTCCCACTGTCACAGGCATTGAGGGGCAGGAGATGAGGGAAGGCGTTTCTCCCTCATCCACTCCACCATATGGCAGATGAGGGGTGGAGCCCGATGGCCTAGGCCCCCATCAACAGGGTCAGTTCTATTGTTCTGCCCAGGCTAGGTGCCAGGCCCAGTTTTCTGAGTGTTGCAGCCATTGAGGGACAGGATCACTCGTGACCCCGGACCAGCTTTCCCACCTGCAGTAGGTGGCAAGAGGTGAGGGGGAAAATACATCTTTTAAAAATGAAATAATGTTTGAGAAGATAGATGTGCTTAACCTGACTTTAGCATTATATTGTGTATACTTGTATCAGAATACCACAGTATACCCTGTAAATGTGTACAATTTTTGTTTAAAAAAAATCGGGATATGGTGGCATTTGCTTGTCATTGTAGCACTTGGAAGACAGTGGAAGGAGTATTGCTGTGAATTCAAGGCTAGCCTGGGCTACATAGTGAGATCCAGGTCAGCTTGTGCTATAGCAGCTGTTCTCAACCTATGGGTTGTGAATGACCTATGGGTTACATATCAGATATCCTGCATAACAGATATTGACATTATGATTCATAACAGTAGCAAAATTACAGTTATGAAGTAGCAATATAAGGAACTATATTAAAGGGTTGTAGCCTTAGAAAGGTTGAGAACCACCATGCTATAGTGCAAGAGTCTGTCTCAAGAAATAAAATAATGAGGGGATGGAGAGATGCCTCAGCAGCTAAGAGTATTTTTTGTTATTGCAGAGGACTGTGGTTCACTTCCCAGCATCCACAGGGTGGCTCACAACCTTCTATGACTACAGTTCCAGGGAATCCATACCTTCTCTAGTCTCTGAGGGTATCAGACATACACATGGTACACAAACATATTTGCAGGCAAAACACTTAGAGGATGGTTTGGAAAAAAATGGCTCCCAAAGGGAGTGGCAGTATTAGGAGGTGTGGCCTTGTTGGCGGAAGTATGTCATTGTCAGGGTAGGCTTTGAGGTCTCCTATGCTCAAACTACACCCATGTCACAGTTCACTTCCTGTTGCCTGTGGATCAAGATGTAGAACTCTAAGCTCCTTCTCCAGCACCATGTCTGCCTGCATGCTGCCATGTCCTGCCATGATAATGAACTAAAACTCTGAAATTGTAAGCCACTCCAGTTAAATATTTTCCTTTATAAGAATTGCTGTCGGGCGGTGGTGGCGCTCGCC